GAGGAGGAGGAACAGGAGGGAGGAGGAGGAGGGAGGAGGAGGAGGAGGAGGAGGAGGAGGAGGAGGAGGAGGAGGAGGAGGAGGAGGAGGAGGAGGAGGAGGAGGGGGGGGCTGGGAACGAGAGAGAAAGAGAGAGAGAGAGAAGGATCCGCCCGTGCCAGCGCAGGCCAGGTGAGCTGGCCCGGAGGCGCCTCCAGAGCGCGCTCTCGGGTGAAGCCGGGGCCACCGCGGAAGTGGGCAGCACAATGGTCCGACCTGCTGCTCTGGAAGGGGCCTCTTCTGGGGGGCACAAAGGTGGGGTTGGGGCAAAGGTGGGTTTGGAGGGGAAATCGTTTCAAACGGCCCCTGGAAGCAGGAAACGCGATACACGGGAACATCCAGCTGGGCCCGATCCCCAGCCCCACCCTGGGATAACCCTCCCTCTACGACCCCCCGATCTTTTTACCTGGGAGAGGGCAATGGGGAACAACCGCGAAGCTCCGACGGACAAGCTGCGATGCGATTGCTGCTTGCTGCAGGCGCCGGTCAGCGGCTGCTCTGGAGGAGGCCCGTGCTGGCGATGTGATCGAGGGAGGTTGTAGCACCGCTCAACGACGCACTGTTGACCTGGTCTACAGGAGGGGCCCTTTCCTTTCCGATGCACTTCAGAAGGATGTGGAGGAGGAGGGTGGGAGAAGAGAGGGAGGAAGATTCGGAGGTAACTCCTGGGAGGATTTCGCGGGGACGATCCAAATACTACTGAACAATAGAAAAATGCTAACACTCCAGATCTAGCCGGACCAACCCCGAGATTGAGCCACACCTGGCCGGATGAAAATTGTGCCGGCCTAGGCTGGTCAGGCTGGATTTTACCCCAAATATGTACCAGCGCCGATGCTTCGGCCGCCCTCCCAGTAGATGCAACCGAAAGAAGGGAGGAGGCCGTGGAGGCCAGAGAAAGGGAGAGAGAGAGAGAGAGAGGAAGGACGGCAGGCGAGGGAGGGAATGACGACGAAGCGAGACGCACGCCCGCGCTGCCGACGCGCTGTCGACGGCACGAGCCCACTCGCAAACACTTGACTGGCGGAGGTGCCTCCCCCGAAGTCCCTCCTCCCTTTTGACGTTCGGCAAACTTCAAAAGCAACAGAAGCTTCTAGCGTTCGCCCGTGGCAAAAGTCAGAGCATGCGATCCGACTTCGATCTGGCGGCGACAAATTTAGGCGATGCCAGCGTAGAAGACTCAAAGGACAGGGCCAGAGCGATAAGTGCAAAATCTTTCTCCTCCTCCTGCTCCTCCTCGAACTCCTCCTCCTCCTCCTCCTCCTCCTCCTCCTCCTCCTCCTCCTCCTCCTCCTCCTCCTCCTCCTCCTGGGGCGTCCTGCCTGCTTCTGGGGTCTCCTGCTGCCCCCCATCCCGCTTGGCCGGCCTCGCCGCAGAGCTCGAGCACTACGGAGGGGAAGCCGTCCAGCTTCTCCGACTGCGGGGGCACGGGGCCACCCACCCACGAGGGTGGAGGGCGAGGAGGAGGATGACATCAACAATGCAGCCACATACGCCTTGCCTGGTGGCGAGCCAGACAAGGGGACGCTCCTTGGCGTAAAAACTCCACAGTCTCACCAGCGTTATCCTGGCCTGAAGAGTCTTTCTGAAACGGGAAAACCAAGAGGGGGGGCCGAAAGCCGAGGGGCGATCTCCTGCAGACAGGAGGATCCCCTTCGGCTAACGGCCCCCCCCCCAATTAATTAGTCCGAGTCCGAGGAAACCATTCTGGGTTCCTGCGGAGCTGCGGAAGCGGCCGCCTCTTGGAGGCGGAGCGCAGAAACGACGCCGCGGAGCACAGAACTTCCTGGCGGGTCGGGCGGCACGTTGCAAGCCTCCTTTCTCGCCTGTGGGTCCAGGCCAGGGGCGAGGGAAGGCAGACACGGCGAATCTACAATCGTGAGCCCTTGCGTGCATACTCGCGGGTACCTGCCCGCCATAATTCTATTGAAATTAGTGCGACCGTGCCTGCTGAACTGTCCTGGGCAACGGGTCGCTAAGTTGCTTTTGACCAGCACTCCGTGGTGCAGAAACGCTCCGCACCGCACGCAAAGGAAACAGTCGGAGCCATCTGAAACATGAAATAATGTCGGCACATGTGCGTTGCTCTCGGCCGCATCCAGATCAGGTTGCGCCGAGCCTAAACATTTTCCAGGGCCAGGTTTCGCCGCGGACCTGGACCCTTTGCGACAGACCGTGCAACGCCACATGCCACTACAATGTTGCCACTCATGCCCCTGGACAGGCGGCCCCAGGGGTTTCTCAGGATGCTTTGCCCGAAGCTCGACTCCGTCAAGATTCAGCTTCGGCCACTGCGGCAGAAGCTTCGCGGCAAGGCGGCACGCGGCGCGGGCAACGGCAATGCTACACTGAACTCGTTTTTCCTCGGCCTCTGTGGGCCGAGGATGCGCCTGCGCGCCCATTTTCGCGACGGCATCAGCGTGGCCGTTTCCCCGACGTCGGAACCGCTCACTCTCGTCAAGCTCTGGCTCGTCGGGGTCTAAATGAGCCCTAACCTTGGTTAAGGCAGAGATGTGGCGGCATTGATTGATATACAAGAAGTGGCCCGCGTACATGCGCTTGTGCGACAGTCGCGCAGACGCGGGCTGGTTAAAGTGCGAGACTACCGCCTAGCAGTCTGAATAACATTCGCTCGGAGTCGCCAGCTGCAAGGAAGCCTGCGCTAGAGCCGTAAACTCGGCCGCAGGGGCCGTCTGAGCGATCAGTGCCCACACATGCCCGTGCAGCGTGCATTCGGGTTGACCATCAGCCGAGACCTGGACCACTCCCCATCCAGCCCTCGAAATTTCTGGTATCGGATGCCCGAACAAACTCCCATCTACGAAAATTCGGCCCCCGATCACTCCGTCGTCGAAATCACGATCCTCCCGATGCGATTTGATTTCCACACCGCCGAACTCCCTAGGCTGAGGCCAATGCCCTTCTGGATGCTCGAAGATGCCACATGTGAACAAAATGTCCTCATCCTTGGTGAGCTCACCACACGCCATCTTGATGATATTCTCCTTCACCAACTCCTCCCTCTCGTCCCTCACCGCCTCACAAGTCCAAAGCCTATGATGCGGGGTGTCAACCGCCTGTTGACAGAGAGGGCAGAGCAGCTGTTCGTCATCTAACTCGTATCCAAGGGCATGAGCCCGTGAAGCCGTCCAGCAGCCTCCACAGGCCAGATTACGAATAGCTCCTTTTTTTCCATGGGCGTGTAGCGTTTTTTTGCGGGCTTCTGATTTTGCAATATCAAAACACGCACGGTCCCAGGGCATCTCCAGCTTGACAGCAATGGACCTCTCCAGGTCCCGAACAACAGCCCTTCGCAAGAGATCCTTGAGCAACGTAGGGCTGACATACGTGAGCGAAACAGCAGTGCCACGATGATCAAGCAGCGTGGCAAAGTCCCGCATTCGCCACCCTATCCTCTATACTGACATGTACAACGCACTGATGGGTCCGTGAACGTGTCTCCAAGTGGTTGGAAGGGTGGCGGATTCAAAAACAGAAGACCAAAGTCGGCGCAGCTCTGGCATGCTGAAACAGAACGAGTAAGCCCTTGTCTGCGCTGCCCAAACTTCCTTGCTCCATCTAACTATCGGCGCAACCATCCCATACCAGCAAGGCTCATCCTCAAACACTAGCGCTGCAGACAATGATCGGCCACCACATGACGGCCGTAAACACTTACCAGCCTGCTGCCTGATCCGACCTAACTCAGTGTTACTTAGACCGTGAACTTCAGCTCCGTAGCACATCCCTGGCAGCGGCCCACTACAGAAAATCTTCCGCGCTGGTCTGCCAAGGATATGTCTCTGCCTCTTGATGCGCTCCACCTTCCTCCGAATTCCTCTCTCCCTCTGCTTTCGCTTGACCGCTCTCCCCCGCACCCTGCTACCTTTCCCTGCCGTGTCATCAATCCCCAAGTTGACTGCAGTAGAGTGGTTGGAGCTGGGCCCCGACAAGGCCCCGAGCCAATCGGCCAGCAGCTTACCGAGCGTGGCGTCGCTGGCAACAAGGTTGGCCTTGTCGGGGGAGATAACAGACTTCAAATCCTCCGTGACCGCCACGTAAACAGCTGCCGTAGCCGACTTTGAATCAGCCAAGACCTGCTTGAAAGTGCCGGTGCTAGATATACCTATGCCATCTATGAAGAGGTCGATGCTAATGGTGGGCCCCACAGAGACCTGCATGAACGTATCCATGCAATAAATGCGCACATATGTTGTAGCTAGACTGCAGCCAGCAATAACACCCCTGAAAGCCAGGAAGGGCCCAGCCAGGAAACCAGTGATGTTAATGAAACGAGCCGATTTGTATGCAGCTAGCGAAACCTTGATGACCGTGTGCGAGAAGCCCCATTTAAGACACCGAGCCTCGAGATCCCCAAGATCCATCAACTCATAAAACTTATACATGTCCCATAAGACTGACGCCGCATATCCCCCTGTTCGTGTGGACCCTTCGGCGCGAGCAGCTTGGCGCCAGACAACATCAGTGGCACTCTTAAACCCACTACCTGAGAAAAACTTGCCGTGTGAGCCTCCTCCCATTCCACAGCTACCTCCCTCCTGATCTTCCCCCGCATGCGGTAAGTGGACGTGGAGAAACCGATCGGGCGCAGGCCGCCCATCGGCTGGGGAGCATAGCCAGCATCACCAAACGAATTTGGATGGGAAAAGTCGACATCATCTCAATGATCCCGAAAATGTAAGACAGAACTTCAAGCCCTTCATCGCAAAGAAGCCGATAGTGTCTCATGTGAAAACCATCAGCACTTACTCCAGATCGACTCTTGTAGGAACGGCTTGCCAAACGAATGGTGTCAACAGAAACTCTAGGCAATGCCGACATTGGCTGGAAGTCCTGGCTCTGGTTGTAGTCAATGGATTCGGCTCCTTCGGTAGCCAGCCACAGGCCTTTGAATCGAAGCCCTTCAGCCTTGAGTAACGACAAAGGGTCTGATAGACCTGACCCGATGCTGACAGCGTCGAGGACGGAGCCCAGGCTTCGACAGGCTTTGACCAAGCATGGGCCGCGCGTGCCCCTTGGTCGATGTCCTTCAGAAGCCACTCCTTCCACGTACGGTCTGCGTCGTTCTTGGCTGCGAGAGAGGCCGACTTCAGCGCGTCCGCGAGACGCGCCGAGATGGAGTAGCAATCATCGAAGGACTGGCCATCCTTCCCTACGAACTCACAGACATCTGCGTACAACTGGCTGAACTCGCTCTTAGCAAGGTTGTCCAGAATGAAGCTCGAAGGGGAACATATGACTGCTTTTGTGCGATCTCTGGCGGGATTGTCGGGCTCTCCAGCCCGAACATGAAACCACCAGAGCCGATAATTCTGACAAAGCCAGCGGACACAGAACAGAGCAGGGTGTCGGCCAAGACGTTTGTCTCGTTTCCTAATGTCAACCCACCGGACTTGTGGAATTTCTCCCCGACAGCCATTCTTAGGCAACTTGGTCTGGAGGGCCCCTTCTAACTCCAACTCAGCCATGTTTGCCCAAGACTTGTGCAACCCGTCGAGCCCCTCACATGCCTCACGAGACCCACGTTGTGCACAATCAAAAACTCCCTCAGCAAGTTTGAGAACTTGGCTCCAGTCACGGGGGGCAGGGGCAGGACCAATAGGTTGTTCGACAGGAAGTGGAGGTGGTTTCCGAAACGATAACACCTTCAGGTCCTCCAGCTGCTCGAAAAACGTCATTTCCACAGGATAATGAGGTGCTATGTTGGCATTTCGATTAACCTGGATCGAGCTGATACCCTTGGCGAGCCCACTGGAAACCAGGAAGTAGTCCAGGGCCCGAACTCCCGCAGAAGACAGACACGTCCCAGACTCCGTGCTCACCAACTGGGCCTCCAGGGACTCAACGTACTGGCACTTGCCTAAGACCGCGGGGTCCATGTTGAAGTCCCCCCCGATAATGTACGAGGACATGCTCGAGCTGACCGTGGAGCCGATCCCAGCGAGAATGTCTAAATTCGCATCACTCAGTTCCTCAACGCAGTGTAAGTAGCAACTGATCAGCAGGATGGGGTCCCCATTGCCTACATGTGTCCACGCTGCCATCGCACGGTGCTGGCATACCTTAATACCTCCAATCGGTTCGTGCAGTCCAAGAAAGCTCCTGACCAGAACCGCCACCCCGTCTGAGGTGTACACATCCGTATCTTCTCGAGTCACCTTAGCTGGTTCGAAGAAGCCCTTCCAACCGTTCTTGAGCAACCAACTCTGGGCCTCAGCTATCTGACATTCTCTAAGGTGATGCTCTTGCAACAACACTACATGAGCCGCCGTGGTCGGTAGCCATTCTTTGGCTGACGACCACGCCGTACAATTGCAACGTCTGCGGATATGCTAAAGGCTGCACATACAACGTGTCACGCCTTCCAAAACCATTTCCGAGACTACCCGTGGCCGCTGGGCCACTGTCGGCAGAAGACAACAGATAGCGGAGAAACGTATCCAATTTAGAGATGGGCCGAGCGAGGCGATCCACAGGCTCGAGCTTACAAAAGGTTTTTTTCATGGAGACAATCCCCCCTGCCGTCCTTATGGGTTGCGCACGGCAGGGGGCGGGCCTTGCTGAGGCTTGTCGAGAGCCGCAGCCGCACGCTCTCGCACCGCCGAGGCTGCTGCAGCGTCGCTGCCGCTGCCTCCACCAGCCGCCGCCGCAGGCTCCGCCTGTGGCTCATGTGATGGTGGAGCGGCAGGCGGTGTCTTCGGTGCCCCGCCAGCTGCCCCAGGAATAATGCCTCCATCCTCGTCGGCCCGCCGCTTCTTGCCCAACCTCGCCACATGCTTAGCCTGCTCCTCGCGAATGATATTGGCCTTCGAGAGGGCGTCGGCGAACATGGATGTGCAGACATCGCGGAACTGGGCATTGAGCGTCTGTCGGCGTGTCTCCATCTCGTCCTTATCCTCCTTGGAAATTGTGTATTCACTCTCGTCGAATTTGAAGATCGAGTCGAGGCTGACCAGGTCGAAAACGGTGCACTTACCGTCCATGAGTTCAGAGACATCAATCTTGCCGACGACTCCCTTTGAACAGTCTTCGGTACTGACCATGCCTCCAGCCAGCTCCCTGACGAGTTCCTTGTACTTGTCGTCGGCGTCCTGAAGTTCAGCGCGTGCAGCAGCAGAGGCGTCCCGTTGCACACTGAGCTGATCCTCCAGCTTGCCGAGGCGGTCCAACTCGACGGAGAGCTTCCTTTCCCAGTATTGAACATTACTATGTGCTGTAGCGGCCCGCTGTTGAACAGGAGCGGGCTGTGCTGACTTCGTGAGCTTGTCCAGGGCCTGCTTGTGCTTGTTGGCGGCAGACATGTCACCTCCTTTCTCGCAGAGTGTGATGAGCTGGCGCAGCTCGTCGGCCGAGAGGGAGTCGCCTCCGACGCTGCCGTTGAGACCGTTGCCACCTGCACCGCCACCAGGAAGGGCGAGGAGGAGGAGAAGTAGGAAGAGGAGGAGGAGGAGGAGGAGAAAAGGAGGAGGAGCAGGAGGAGGAGGACCAGTGTAAACCCAAGAGTCATCAACGATGCTGGGATAAGCCCTCTCTCCAAGCTCCCTCTTCGTAGGCCCCATACAACGGTTCATTCCCATTGAGGGAATTGCCCCGTTGGAAGATAACTGTATGAAAAACCTGAAGCATGCCAAAACATCATTGTCGAATTCCCACCACGGATCCACTTGACTGTTGCATCTTGACGATCCGGCATCGTGCCAGAAAACCAGTCTTGGGACTTCAGCACCGCGAATCAACGTAACTGTTGCAACCGCATAATCCTGAATCCTTCCAAAACACTATTTCTGGTACGTTGACTATGGAATCCATGACACTCTTCCAAATGTTTAAAACGAGTGAGCGCGGCGCTAAGGCGAGGGCCTCAACATTTTGAAAACGGGTCGCCTTCAATCCGGGGAGCTCTGCGGCGCTATGGCGAGAACCACATTTTGAAAACCATCCGCCCTCAATCCGTGAAACCGTTGCTAATTTGTAAAACGAATGTGCGCGGCACTATGGCGAGAACCACATTTTGAAAATGGGTCGCCCTCAATTCGTGAAACTCTTGCAGATACTGAAAACGAATATGCGCTGCGCTGAGGCGAGAGCCGCATTTTGAAAACGGGTCGCCCTCAATCCGTGCAGCTCTTGCAAATGATGAAAACGAATGTGCGCGGCGCTACGGAGAGAGCCACATTTTGAAAACGGGTCGCCCTCAGTCCGTGAAACTCTTGCAAACATTTAAAACGAATGTGCGCGGCGCTGAGGACAGATCCACATTTTGAAAATGACCCGCCCTCCATCTGTGAAGCTGTTGCCACTTTTTAAGCTTTCGTAAGTGGTGAGGAAATCCAAAGCGAAACGCCCAGCCCGCCCAAAAAACTTGCCTCGGGGTGCGACAGGGAAAACTCAGGGAGAAGTTATTCAGAAGGAAAAAGAATGGAGGAGGAGGAGGAGGACGAGGAGGAGAGAGAGGATGAGGAGGAGGAGGAGGACGAGGTAGAGGGGGGGGGGCGAGGCGAGAGGGTCAGAGGCAGGGAAGATGGCGGCGTGGCGCGAACGCGTCAAAAATCCTCGAGCAGCGAGCCCCCAAACCGACCCGAGCCTCCTCGGTCCTCCTTTTCCTCCTTCTCCTCCTTCTCCGTCTCCTTCTCCTCCTCCTCCTCCTCGGTCCTCCTCCTCCTCCTTCTCCTCCTCCTCCTCTCCTCCTCTCCTCCTCCTCCTCCTTCTCCTCCTCCTCCTCCTGCCTCCCTCACTGCTGCCTCCCTTCCTCCCTTCCTCCGTCTTGTCTTGTCGACGTCGTCCTCGTCCTCGTCGTCGTCCTCCTCCCCTTCCTTTTCCCGGCGTGGGCCGCGGCCGGTCCTCAATGACTGCGCCCGTTTGGCCGGGGCCGACCCGGGCCTCCAAATCAACCGACCCGAGCCTCCTCGTCTCATCTCCTCAGTCCCGCAGCGCTCTAACCTGTGCGCCCCCCCCTGTGCACGACACTCGCCCGCCCCCCTGTCCGCGACACTCGCCCCCCTGTGCGCGACACTGGCCCCGCTGTGCGTACTGGCGCAGCCGCCCCCCCCCCCCTTGTGCGCGACACTCGCCCCCCAGGGGGCAACCGCTGCCCGGCGCCTGGCCAGGACACCCAATCACCAGACGGCGGCCGTCCGAGGGGGGAGGAGCAGCGCCGGCCATGGCCTGCAGCACGGAACGTGGCCGAGACCTCCTCCTCCTCCTTTTCCTCCTCCTCCTCCTTCTTTTCTTCCTCCTCCTCCTCCTCTTCCTTTTCCATTCCTTCTCCTTATATATGACTCTTCCATGTCGCCCCTCGAGGCCAGTATTCAGGGCGGACCGGGCGTTTCGCCTGAGACTTCCTCACCATTAATAACTCTGAAGCTTGAAAAATGGCAAGAGCTGCACGGATTGAGGGCGGGCCGTTTTCAACATGTGGCTCTCGCCTTAGCGCGGCGCACATTCTTTTTCAACATTTGCAAGGGTTTCACGGATTGAGGGCGAGTGGTTTTCAAAGTGTGGCTGTCGATTTAGCGCCGCGCACATTCTTCTTAAACGTTGCAAGATTTTCACGGATTCCCATGATCAGCGTATCAAAACATTCAGGAAGGATTCAAGATCATGCGGGTGCTAAAACTCTGTTGATTCGCGGTGTTGGAATCAAACATGGCGTTATGGCACGATTCCGGATCGCCAGACTGCAGCAGTCAGCTTGATACGTGGCGTTGAAATCTCGAGAACATGTTTTGGCATGCTTCAGGATCTTCAAACGGTTGTCTTCGAACAAGTCAGTTCTCTCAATGGAAATGAACCATTGTAAGGGCCTGTGAAGAGGGAGCTTGGAGGGAGGGTTAATTCCGACATCGTTGATGACCCTTGGTTTTACACTGGTCCTCCTCCTCCTCCTCCTCCTCCTCCTCCTCCTCCTCCTCCGCCTCCTCCTCCCCCTCCTCCTCCTCCCCCCTCCTCCTCCTCCTCCTCCTCCTCCTCCTCCTCCTCCTCCTCCTCCTCCTCCTCCTCCTCCTCCTCCTCCTCCTCCTCTGCTCGTCCTCCTCTTGCTCGTCCTCCTCTAGGTGAACAAGCCATGACTTGCTCGTCCTCCTCTAGGTGAACAAGCCATGCGAGGCAGAACTGTAGCGCCGGCAGAAGAACTAGACGGGGACACTGAGAAGGGAGACGGAGACGGACAAGGCGGCCGCGGAGGACAAACCATGAGGCACACATAACAACTCGGAGGTGCGTCAGGACTCCTCGGATCGGCGCTGGACCTCCCTGGCGCGCGGGGCGCGCCAGGGGCGGCGCTGGTGGCGCCTCTGGGGGCTCAAGCGCCGATCCGAGAAGTCTGAGCGGAACTTCAACTCTCTGTTTGTGAGATTGTTTCTTCTCCGATCCTCCTCCTCCCTCCTGCCCTCCCTCCCTCCCTCCCTTCCTCCTCCTCCTCCTGATCAAAAACAAGGGGGACCCCGGGCGTTGGGACTATGGTGCCTGGCCCCTGGCCGCGACAAAAAACGCCACCTGCCAGGCACAGCCTCCCCTCCTCCCTACCTCCCCCCCCGTCCCTTCCCCCCTTCCCCCCCCCCCCCCCCTCCCCCCCCCCCTCCCTTCCTCCCTCCCTCCTCCCCCCCTCCCTCCCTCCCTCCCTCTCCCCCCCCCTCCCTCCCCCCGTCCCCCCTCCCCCCCGCCTCCCCCGCCGCCGAGCGGAGGCGTCGCCCCAGGGAGCGCCCCCCCCGCCCCCCGGCGGGTTGCTGCCCGGGCGGGCCTTCGCCACGCCCTGCGGGGCCGCGGCGGCGGCGGCGGGGCGGGCCCCCGCGGACACGGTGCGGCGCTCGTCCGCGACCTGCGGGGCCCGGCCAGCTCTGGCGTGCCCAACGCGGGGCGAAGCGGGCTGCCGCGGCTCGGCGCCGCGAGGGCGCTCGGTGCCCACGGGCGGGCCCAGGCGTGAGAGGAAAGAAACGCGGCGCGGGGGCGGCGAGAAGCTCAGCTGTGGCACCAGAACCTGGCATTGACGACTGTGTTGCAAAAAGAGCGAGGCTCAGGTGTGACAAAGCATGATCTTATCACGATGCTGTTCGTCACTCTTGCCCCACGAGCCAGGTGGTGCGAGCGCCTTTCGCTCTCGACACGGCCAGCCGCGGCTTGGGGAGGTATTGGCAATCCGGCCGAATTGCTCCTCCACCTCCCCCCCTTCCCGTCTCCTTATGATAAACTCCTCCCTGTCGCAACCCCGAACGTATCGGAAGGGCGGCCCGTGCGTTTTGCCTGAGATGCCCTTGCTAACTATGTTCATGAGGCTTGAAATTGGCAATCGTTTCACTGACGGAGGATGGGTGGCTTTCAACATGTGGCCGCGCGCATTCGCCTCAAACATTTGCACCAATTTCGATAATGGACGACTGGGCGGTCACACTGTGGTTATCGCCTCAGCGCCATGCGCATTCCTTTTACACGTCTGCAACCATTTCAAGGATGGAGAGGGCGTCGTTAGCGCCGCTAGCGCCGCGCACGCTCGTCTTCCGACTCCCTCCCTCTGTCGCCTCCACCCTTCTCCCGCTTTCCTCCTTCCTCCTACCTCCTCCCTCCTCCTCCTCCTCCTCCTCCTCCTCCTTCTTCGTCCTGGAACGCTCATAAGGAGCCCCATCCTCCTTCTCCGTCCTCCTCCTCCTCCCTCCTCCTTTTCTTCCTCCCACCCCAGGAGTAGGGGCGAGGGGAGAGGGATGGGGACGGGGAGGAGGAGCGAGGGAGGAGAAACTCCGAAGAAGGCGTGCGCGCCCAACCCGCGTAGATGGATGCGCGTCCCGGTTCGCGAGGCCGCCCTCGTGTCACGCGGCTCTCACGAAGACCATGTGCATTTCAAGTGCGTGTGTGTTTTTGTGCCGCTCCTGCGGGAGGAGGAGGACATGGGATCCAGGACCAGGAGGACCCCATGACCCATGACCCAGGGAACCGAAACAACCCTTTCGGGCAAAGACATCCGAACCCTACCCCAACTAACCATCGTTTCTCTTGAATCGGTGGGAGGTGGGTGTTCGGCGCATTCCGAACCCTACCTCCGCCGCCCATCGAGTGGCCTCAATCGTTGATCGGCGAGGGTGGGGTTCGGCTCTCGCCGCCGAATCCAGGGCCAGGAGGGAGGACCTGTGAAGTAGGACCAGGAGGACCAGGAGGACCGATGATCAAGGACCAGGAGGACCTATGGCCCTCGTCCTCGCTCCTGCTCCTCCCCCTCGCTCCTCCTCGCTCCTCCATCCCCTGCTCCTCTAGCCTCCTCGCTCCTCCTGCTCGCTCCTCCACGCTCCTCCACGCTCCTCCTCGCTCCTCCTCCTCCCCCTCGCTCCTCACTCCTCCCCCGTCGCCCCCCGACGTTGACGAGGGGGGAGATACGCGCGGGGGGTGGAGGGTTGGATAAGGGGAACTCGGAGCGGGGCGCGTGGATTGCCCTCGAGCGGCCCTGTAATGGCCCCGAACTGCCGCCCCGCGCCGGCGAGGTGCCGGAGAAGCGCGATGGCGAGGAGGAAGAAGGGGCAGCAGAAGGACGAGGAGGAAGAGGCAAGGGAGTCGTCGCCATCCTTTTTTCTGGCCCACCGCAGGACAGCAAGCACAGCCACAGTCCACACGCGGGCATCTGATGGGTCACAGGGCCCTGTCACCTTGGTTCATCGACACAACTCCCTGCTGGAGTAGTGCACCCTTTCCAACCCCCTGTTCAGTGCCTCCCGATGGCCGTCCGCCCAGAACTGTCCCCGCCCAGAACTGCTCAAGACCAGTCCCCCGTCCCCTGCCGGGGCCCTGTTTTGGTCAACCTTCCATTCCAGATCGACGTATGACGGCCCTCCCCAGACCCCGTCAGTCAGAAGGGGATCGGAGGGACTTGGCTGACTGGCCGTTAGCACCGACCCCTGCTCATTACTATTTTCCGACCCTCCTGTGGCGCTGCGCAACAGATCGGAGTGCAAAAGATCGGAGGCGACTTGCGCAACAGATCGGAGCGCAATGTGAATTACCGCATGGAGTGCGCATGGGGGAAATTCCTTTCCCAGAAGGCGGTGCTTTTGAACAGATCCATATTTCTGCGCCTTCTTTTGAAACTGTTCGACGCGATTGTTACGCGCCCAAGGCTGTTTAAGGTCTTTCGACAGCAGCCATGACAGCACAGCAGCGGTCGCGAGCTGCATCGACGCGCTCAAAAATGCTCCGCCAGATAGTTGGTTCCAGCAAGCTTCCCCGCGAAAGCTGAGAGGAGGCGGGGCGACGCACCGAGCAGACATCAACCGCTGCTTTGAAGCTGTTTCCAGTGTCGGACTGGCTCGTCGTGCTGGATCTTTCAGTGTGGCGCCTCGTGGCGCGACTCGCCGCCGGCGAAGCGCAAACATGGCCGGCCCACAATCTTCGGTGGCGTCCGGCCGTCGCCAGACGCCGTGGGCGGCCACGTCGAAGATGGACAGATGTAGTCGATTCATTCCTGCGACAAGACCACGGCACGAACACAATTATGAAAGTGATTCGCAGCCAGGAGCCTCTCCCTTGGCAGCGGGAGGAACAGCACTTTCTAGATTTGATGAGGAGCGACTGATGTATACTTTTGGCTATAATTGAACAATACCCTGTTCATTCCTTTTCTCTTGCATGCGCGTTTTGTTGCCGTAGTGTCTCACTCTCTCCGGCCCCGCTGCTTGCCATGCGGAGCGAAGTGCCTCCATGGGCCTCTCCACCAAACTTGACTTGACCTGTGGAGTTGGGTCGTCGTTTTGAAGAGATAGCACCCCGCGTCTCCCACACTCCTCCTCGTCCCCCTCTTTCCTGCTCCCATCCCTGCAACTGCCCTCCGCACCATTCAACCATTTCGGCACACCCCATCACACGCGTGGTGGCCGCACACCCATCACACACGTTTCGCGCCCCATATGGAACTCCACCAAAGGCCCCACTGGAGCAGCCCGCATGCGTCCCAACAACCTGTTTTGGCACACCCCTCACGCGTTCCGTGGCCCCATGGGGAGCTGCATTGCAGACCCCAGCGTCGCACTCCGCACGCACCCCCGTCGCCTATTTTTGCACCCGCCCCTCACACACGTCGTGGCCCCATTGGGAGCTGCACCAGAAGCCCCAATGGCGCAACCCGCATGCGCCCCCCGCCATTCATGTCGGCACACTCTAGAGACGCTTCGCGGCCCCATAGGGAGCTTCACCGAAGGTCCCACGGACGCAGCCCGCATGCGCCCGAGCCACTCATTTGGGCGCACCCCTCACGATTTTCGTGGCCCAGTGGAAAGCTCCAACGCAAGCACCAGTGGCACAGCCAGCATGCGTCCCATCCACCCATGTCGGCGCACCCCATCACACGTTTCGTGGCCCCATATGGATCTTCACCGAAGGCCCCAGTGGCGCAGCCCGCATGCGTCCCATCCACCCATGTCAGCACATCCCTCGAACGTTTCGTGGCCTCATGGGAAACGCCATCGAAGGTCCCATCCACACATGTCGGCTCACCCCATCACACGCTTCGTGGCCCCATAGGGAGCTCCACTTGTAACTTGCGAGCGGTGGAAGGATCTGAATTTGGTGAAAACGCCCAAAACAATTTTAAATCGACAAAACATTGATTTTCGCCACAACTTGAAACTTGTTTTAACATACAATTTAAATCGGATGCGCATTTTTTTTTTTCTGACCGACCCTATTCAAATTGGCTGTGGCGTTTTGTGATTTGGCCCAGGAGGTCTGATGTTAGCTTTGTGCGGCGGCCCAATACAAGCACCACCGAAAATTATGAGGTCAACGGGCCCCAGTGCAAATACACCAACCAACATTGCACACATCGTAGACATTACACGCGGGTACCCTATCAACGCATGATAGTTCAACCTTGAGACCCGCGCGTCGCAGAGAGAATCGTATATCTTGTAACACTTACACATCGGCCGAGATCTGGATGGCAAGAACCGCGTTTTCCAAACAAGAGCGACAATGATGCAACATGTTTAATTAAGAATCGGTACAAGGCCACGCGTCACGGCTCGAAGACACCACATCAACACACATACCCTTCAGGCTACACGTGCCCCTCAGGCCCTTCTACCACAAACAGATCCCTTAGGCTAGACATATCCCTCGGGCTACACGTATACCTCGTTAAAGCTACGCAAACCCCTCGGCCACTTGGCTGATATCACCTACACAAGCCCCCCCGTGCTCTTACGACTACAAACCTCGCACCCACCACCCCGCAACAATAGTGTCACAACTAGCCGAGTTGTACGTGCATGCCGCGGCCCCTTGAAAGGATTCGAATGCTATTTCGAAGGCTATGGGTGGTAAAAGTCCGCCGCCCCCAGCGGGCCGTGCAGGCATGTGATGCTAACGCGTTAGCGCGCATGAGGTGTTATTGTATTGAGGCGCGTGGGCCCCAAACAAGTCTGCGCGACATTGCAAGAGACGCGCTCGGCAAACACTCGATGGGAATGAAGCCCACGCCCGCCAACAACCACCATACGCACAACCACACCCTAGCGGCGCGCCGCGCCCACCACCACCACCATCCCAACGTTAATCGCTGAACGTTTCACGGTTTGGGGCCCGAGTGTTTGGCGGCCGCCGTTGCACCCCCGCGTTTGGTTTCAATGGGAAACCACGTCAGCAAACTATGCGGCACCCCACCAGGGAGGCCCGAATCGGGTCAAGGCCTTCGGACGATTCGACGATACATTCAAGACGCCACCGAGAGCTACCCCAAGACGCCCAAACGAGTATCCCGAAGGCAGCTTACCCACAACCCAATCACAGCGGCGGAATAGGCCGGAGGCAGTTATATGTATGACTCCCTACTTGCCGAACAATCGC